TACAAAAGTTTTATTGCTTTTAATACTTTATGTCATTCACAAATAAATAAATGGCATATTATTTTATGCTCCTTGCATCTGTCAAGGACTCTTTACTTTGTGAGGCAGTCTATGTTGCACATACGTAGGAGTCTTTTGTAACAATCTCATTTCGAATGTCTATTAATTATAGCCTCAAAATAATTTGTAATCCTGATACGTTTTGACGATTCTCTTAATCATTTTTGCTGATTCTTTTATCATGCTTTTTATTAATCAAGCTCGTCTATTATTATTCAAACTCCTCCCCGGTCTTTTGAACAGGAGTAGAGGTTTATCCCTTGTTTCCTGTTTAGGACTGGATTTTTGTTTCGTTCTAAAGTCTAATTCAACTCTATAATTCTAACGCCTCCACCTGAATTCTGTAATTTTATTCATTAATCAAATTTTCTCTTCAATAAGAGTAGACAACTTCGCCTATCGTCCAGTTCACACTCCTCCCCAGCTTTTTGAACAGGAGTAGAGGTTTAACCCTTGTTTCCTGTTTAGGATTGGGTTTCCAGCTCCTTCTAAAGTAGTTTCCATTCTATTTAACTCCCAATAGCCTCTTGCATCTTAGTGACATTATCGCATTGCTTAGGGTGAATTGATTAAAAAAAAAGTGTTTGTGTGTGTGTTAATGCTGAAAAATGATACATATAAAAGTTACTGTTAAAAATAATATATAAATATGTTTAATGCCCAAAAGGATATGTATATAAAAAAAGATTAATGCCCTATATAATATATAAAAGAAAGATAAAAAGTTCTGGGAGATTTGAATTATGAAGCTGTCATTCATTCCTACAAACCCATTCAGTAGGTTCCTTCCTGCTTCCTTGTTTCTCTTGCCCTCTAGATTTCCCTCGGTGTCTCCAGACTTTTTTTTTCCTTGTAATCTGTCCAGAAATTCCATCTGACATTTTTTTTTTCTGATTAGAAGTTTACTTGTCGTTCCTGTTATTTCTAAATAGCTGGACCCATAGAAATTCTACGGCAGATACTTTACAACTTACTCCCTTAAAATGTAACATCTCATTTTTAATGACTTAATTATACACTGAAAATAATTTGCTATCCTGATTAATTTCTTACGATTTTCTCAATCATTTTTGCTAATTTTTAAAATGCTTATTATTTAGTATTCATTAAAAAAAACAAAACAAAAACAAACCATACAATCATATCGAATAATTTTTCAAATAGATTTTATAACATCTGTTTCATATAAACATGTAGAACGGAGCCCGTGGAAATTCTACAGCTATTGCTTTTACTAATTGCTTATTACTAAAATCAATCATATCGGGCTGGCATATTTCATATTATTATATAATTTCACTAAAGCAGACGTTAAATGCACGGGGCGTTATCGATATCTCTGTCTCCTCATTCTTTCTTTGTTTTTAGAAACATATACATCTTCAGCGCACTCCAGAATGAAGCTTACCGGAAGTTAAAAGAAGGGCGTTAGGAATTTACTCTGTTGCTGCTATACCAAGTATTTGTAGACAGGAGACAGTGAAACTCAATTTGTGGGCAGGGGAACGGGTAAGATCAACTCGTGGGCAGGGGAACGGGAAAGATCAACTCGTGGAAAGGGGAACGGGTAAGATCAACTCGTGGGCAAGGGAACGGGAAAGATCAACTCGTGGAAAAGGGAACGGGTAAGATCAACTCGTGGGCAAGGGAACGGGAAAGATCAACTCGTGGGCAGGGGAACGGGAAAGATCAACTCGTGGGCAGGGGAACGGGAAAGATCAACTCGTGGGCAGGGGAACGGGAAAGATCAACTCGTGGATAGGGAATGGGTAAGCTAAACTTTTAGGTAGGGAACGGGCAAGCAAGTACAAAGTACGTGCTAGGAACAAGCAGAAGATTAATATGATAATTCCCTGTCGTTCACATATTGTCTCCGTGTTATTCTTAGTACTCCTTGATAGGACTACATCGCTGTCACTTCAAATTTCATCTCCATTTATGGTGAAATTGTCTAGCATTCATTGCCATACAGGAAATTAGATATTACATACCAGTTCTGTGCTTTTTATTGTTTCTAAGAGCATTTCCTTATATCTTGCCGCATAACTGTTTCTGGAAATACTCTTCCCATATTCCTATGTGCGTTCGGATTTCTCTGTCACATTTTCCCTCTAATCTTACTTCAGAGAGTTAAACTTCTGTTCCGGTTAGATTTTGACGTCCCCCAGTACGTAACACACACTTTGGAACGTCTCTGCTGCTGACGACTGTGCATACTCACTTCTTACAGCTAACAGTCCTTTCTTCTTTCTTTCCTTTACTACCTTGTCTAAGAGTTATTTTCAGTTTCCTTTTTGAGCCGGCCATAAACTCAGCATCCCACGCGTGTCTTGTTATTAACATTCTTGCTAAATGAACACAAGAGACTCGGTTACAATAGTCACACAGGTAACTTTTGGGTTAAATAATGATACTTCAAATAGGAGGTTGATTTACTCTTGTCTTGAATGAAAAATTATGGGCGAAGGAATTGAGAAAGAAAAGGAAGGGAAATGTATATGAAATAATAATAATAATATTATATAAATATATATATGAAATATAGTTTTAAGGTGTGCTATATTTAAGAAATAAAGTGCTCAATATCAGAGATAGAGCGTACGTAAGATCAGCCTGACGATTGTGTCTAGCATGAAACAGCCTGTCACCGCTGAGTTCAATGTTCACTTTTATATTCATATATAATATACACGCACATTCTACACGTGCACATATGCGCACAAAGAAAAAAAAAATCAACCTAACACCAATAAAAAGCTCATAAATTACATTTTAAAAATTAATATAAAAAAAAGAAGCAAATTAGAAAATCGGCTGTCAATTGCTGATACTTCCTGACGAGTGGACCGAACGATTACACAAAAGGTTCGTCTACGAATTTCTGGACACGAGGTGGTAAATACAACATCAATGAACTAAATGGCATTTTTTAATTTATATATATATATATATATATATATATATATATATATATTTTATTTATTTATATTTTATATATTTATATATATATATTTATTTATATATATATATATATATTTATTATATATATATATATATATATATATATATATATATATATATATATATTTATTTATATATATATATATATATTTATATATATATATATATATTTATTTTTTTTATATATATATATATATTTTATTTTTATTTATATATATATATATATATATATATATATATATATATATATATATATATATAGTGGTAAATATACACATATATATATTTTGTATTAAAAAATTATTCCAAGAGAATAGAATCCAGGTAGAACTCAATGTCCAGGACAGAGTAAGGATATAATAAAAAGGCTTAAACACTGATATTCCATGGTCATAATTTATTCCATTAGAATCGTAAATACGATCCAATTCATCAGACCTACAAATTCAAATTGAATTTGTAGGTCTGATGAATTGGATCGTAATTACGATTCAATGTAATATATATATATATATATATATATATATATATATATATATATATATATATATATATATATAATCAGAAAAAGAGAGCTGTGACAAATATATAGGGTGACAGAGAACAAAAGGCATAGATAAAAATTAAAGAACTTACAAGAACACAAATGCATCACTCGAAGAGTAGGAAGAGGTGTGCGTTTTCCTAACTCATTATAAGCATAGAGGCACGGCGTTTACTTGTAGCCATAGCAACAGTGATGTGTCTCGGACAAGACGGAGACCTCTTGTCTTTAGGCTGTTTTTTTTTTAATTTTATGTTTAATTCTGCTGGATTCTTTGCCGCCTCAAAATAAAACTGCTCAGTTTACCCTCTTAATTAACCCATGGCTGGAAAAATATGGTTTCATGCCTTTCTTTTTTTCTTTTTTTTTTTGCAACAAAATAATTACCCGAGAATTGAACTCGGCGCGCCTAGTTTATTCTCCACGCCGACAAGTTCCAGAGACAGATATGTAACATAATTGGCCCTGATCTGGCGTCTCGTCTGCAGTCACTCTCTCACAGACGCGCCGTCGCCTCCCTCTGTCTTTTCTACAAATACTTTCATGGTAATTGCTCCGATGAGCTGCTTTCACTGGTTCCCAGACTCCATGAATTCAAGCTCCCTACGAGGCTGGCATCCCGCTCCCACCCTTACACTGTAGAAACTTTTAAATGTAGCCGTCTCTTCTACTCCAATAGCTTCATACCTCGCACCTCTCGCCTGTGGAACACCCTTCCCAATTACTGTTTCCCCTGAGAGCTATAATCTCCAACTATTCAAATGTAATGTCAATCGACATCTCCAGTTACCTTGATCTACCCACTATCCCTCTCCTCATCCTTTCTTATATCAGTCCTATCTGCTCTTGCTCCAAATTTTCCGCAACCCCCTGCATCCTAGTGGCTTCACGCCTTGCTTGGGGCGTAATGCTTAAAAAAAAATATATATATATATATATATTCATTATCCTATTCGCATCTTCTAGTAGGGAGGTAACGTTGTGCTAATGATCCATGAAAATCGGCGTTTGAAATTACGAACACCAACAACCTGATTTACAAGGAAATATGCATGTGTATCGGTCAGTAAGCAAGTTAATCCGACCGAGACAAAAATGAAATGTGGAAGAAGAAAATAAAAGTGAAACGGGTAAAAGGTATTTTGAATTTATATGGGCATGAATGATCAGGCTTTTATCTTCATAAATAAAAGCCTTTTCTGCGGTTTGCTTAGAGTTTTTTGCGCCCTAGACGTCGCATGGATCATTGTTCATACCGATAAAAGCAACAACACTTGAATGGTATGGATATTTATTGGCAAATCTAGACTGCCACCCTGGATAGTTAGGGGAAGATCCTGTATAAGAGGACAAGTAGGTCTAGGTGTAAATACTCCATTGTTGACCTCTCAGTCAAACATACAGCATTTTTATCATACCTGTGTTTCTAATTAAACTAATACGATAAACGCGGAAATGGTTTGAGAGAGAGAGAGAGAGAGAGAGAGAGAGAGAGAGAGAGAGAGAGTGCGTGTGTGTGTGTTGCGGGAGGAACTGTGCGAAGAAAGCAAGAGAGTGAGAAGGAAAAAGTAAGTGATATCGTAAGAACGAAAGGGATAGAAATAGAGAAAAATCGAGAGAAAGAAAAACAGAAAAATGGAAGTATAAAAAGGAGAGTGTACGAAAGACAGAAAGAATTAAAAGATGGAGAGAAATAACTGTTTATATAAAAAAAGAAAAACGAAAAGATTTTTTTTTTAAAAGTGCTGAGAATATTTGTAAAATGAAAGAAAGGAAAATAAAATAAGCAAAGAAAGAAAAAGAACGAAGAAAGGAAACAAAAGCGTGTAAGAAAAGAACAAAGGAAGGAAAAAGATAATGAATAAATAAAGAAAATATAGGAATCTAAGAATGAAAAAAAAGAAAAAAAAGAATGGAAAGAAAGAAGGAGATGAAAGAAAATGAAAAAAATATCAAAGGAAAAGAAAGAGAGAGGAAGAGAAGAAGGAAAGAAGAGAGAGAGGAAGAGAAGAAGGAAAGAAGAGAGAGAGGAAGAGAAGGAAAGAAGAGAGAGAGGAAGAGAAGAAGGAAAGAAGAGAGAGAGGAAGAGAAGAAGGAAAGAAGAGAGAGAGAGAAGAAGAAGAAAAGAAGAGAGAGAGAAGAAGAAAAGAAGAGAGAGAGAAGAAGAAAAGAAGAGAGAGAGAAGAAGAAAAGAAGAGAGAGAGAAGAAGAAGAGAGAGATAAGAAGGAAAGAAGAGAGAGAGAAGAAGAAAAAAGAAAGAAAGGAAAGAGAAGAAAAAAGAAAGAAAGGAAAGAGAAGAAGAAAAAAGAAAGAAAGGAAAGAGAAGAAGAAAAAAGAAAGAAAGGAAAGAGAAGAAGAAAAAAGAAAGAAAGGAAAGAGAAGAAGAAAAAAGAAAGAAAGGAAAGAGAAGAAAGAAATGAAAAAAGATGTCATAGAAAAAAAAGAGTGAAAAAGAAAAAGAAAAAGAAAGGGAAGTAAAAAGAAGAAAAAAAGAAAACAATCGATTCAAAAAAAGAAACGAAAAAATTCAATAATTGGGCGACAGAAACCAAGTTTGTGAGAATGTTTACTGCAAAGAAAAGACAACTTCCTTACGGTTGCGAGATCTTAGACTGGGGGTAACTAATTTTGGAAAAGAAAAATCACCACCCACCCAGAAAGAAATAGGACCGCCTAGACTGTGTACGGGGTGGCCACATTGCCCCTAAACCCTCTCTACCCGGCGCTAAGGTCGGTTATATAAATGTCAGTAAAAGGTAGTCGGGTAGCTAGTAAATAGGCACTTCAAACCCAGTAGAGTTGGCAAATTCTTTTTAGGGTCCAAAATAGGTGTCCTTTTTGGTTGTTTTTTGATCAGTTTCACTCAGGTAAAACCATGGAAACTAATGCAATAACGTCTCATTTGATTGCAAGTGAAAGAAAATTTATTTATCTCCTAAAATAATAAATATATAATTTAAAACAGAATGAGAAAGAAAGGAATCCATTTTTTTACTTCTTATGATAGCAAGTGTTATCGACCAGACACCGTAGCTCAGGCACGGTGATTTAAGCTTGAATAACCAAAATTTAAACAGTAGTTAATGATTTAATTGGATCTTATAAACATTTCGGTAGCAGTGAAATCTTTTTCCGTCTTGGTAAATAGATTTTTTTAAAAAAAAAAAAAAAAAAAAAAAGATGCTATGGCACTGAACATCACTAGCTCGACACAACGAATTTTGGCTTTTACCCCTTTACTGCACCAATGAGATTCACCTGCATGGAAGTAAAGGGGTGGGGGTGAGACTGTGCGTGGAAATGAGATCCCTGCGTATCAAACAAACAAGGCAGACGGAAATGAAGTCTAGATTAAAGAAGAAAAAAGTATACGAAAAAAAAAAATGAATGAATAAAACGCTAGGGTGGTCCCATGTCAGGAAAATAAAAAGGGGAAAAAAAAGGAGAAAGAGAATAGGAAAAATGCAGAGAGAAAGAAAAAGGAGATAGACTGGGTAAAAGAGAGAGAGAGAGGAGGAAAAGTAAAAGAGAGGGCGAAAGCAAAGGAGAAACAAAAGGAAAAAATAAAAGGGGAAAGACAAAAGAAAAAGAGAGGAAAAGTGAGAAAGAGAGGAAAAGTGAGAAAGAGAGGAAAAGTGAGAAAGAGAGGAAAAGTGAGAAAGAGAGGAAAAGTGAGAAAGAGAGGAAAAGTGAGAAAGAGAGGAAAAGTGAGAAAGAGAGGAAAAGTGAGAAAGAGAGGAAAAGTGAGAAAGAGAAAGGAAAAGAGAAGCAGAACGGTAAAAAAAAGAGTATATGATAGAGAAAGAAAAGAGAGATAAAGAATTTTAAGAAAACAGAGGACGAAGAGAACGAGCGAAAGGAAACAGAAAGAAAGCGAAATAGAATTAAAGCGAGCATTAGAAAGGATAAACGAAAGGAAAAAGAGTGTAGACAAGAAAAAAAAAAGAGGAAAAAGAGGAAGGAAACATACGCGAGTGAGAGAAAAGTAAATAAAATTAGTTAGAGTGGGGGGAGGTGAGAAAAAAATCTACAAGAGAAAAAGAAATAACGCAAAACAATCATAAAAAATTGACATTTTTTTTTTATTTTATAAAAAAAAAAAACAATAAAAAAAACCAGCATAGAATAAAAGACCCAAAAAGAAGAAAAAAAAGAAGCCAGGAGAAAAGAAGAAAAAAAAAAAGAAGGAAAAAAGAATAGACGAAGGAGGAGAAAATTGAAGGGTAGCGAGAGAGAGAGAGAGAGAGAGAGAGAGAGAGAGAGAGAGAGAGAAAGAAACAGAAACTAAATAATAGAAGGAGGAAGAAAGAAAAAGTGAAGGAAAACAAAACGAAACTACTGCTTTGTGGAACCGACTCCCAAGAGGATGCTTCCCCGATCATTACAATGTTAACCTGTTCAAGTCTACGCTCAACAGCTATCTTCCCCACATTTCCTCATAAACTGTGTCTCTTACTCTGTAACCCTCTACGTAGAGTGGCTCGTGGGCTTTATACAGGGTAAACATCATTTTAATTATAAAAAAAAAAGCAAAAGAAAATAAGAAAAAAGGAGAAGAAAATAAAATGAAATAAATGAAGAAAGGGAAAAAGGAAAAAAAAAGTGAATAGAAACTAAATTTGATGCAATTTGTTACGATCAAATATACGTACTACTACTAATACTACTATTACTACTACTACTAATAATAGTAGCAACAGCAGTGACATTAAGAAAATGTCTATATCAGCAAATCTGAGTAGGAACGTAAGCAGAGGTGAGCAGATAAAGAGCCTTTGGGTTGAGTACGGTATCTTAAAAACGAAGCAATATACGAACTATAATTAGATGCCTTCAGGATCAGATTTGATAAATAAAATGATTAAAGACAGTCATAATGTAAACAACTGTAGTGTTGAATACGGTAAGAATTGGAGATAAAGTAATAGCCGTTGAATTCTGGCAACAGTGAGGACTTTTGGGGTTTTTTTTTTTTAGATGACTTGCTGTCTGTTGATCTCCTCAGATACTACCGGTGTAAAAATTCATAATTTTTTGGGGGTCAGGTCTGGCATTATCAATGCCAGTGTGGCTAAATTACGGTTTATAGCTTTTCCTTTCTTTATTTAAAAAAATAACAAAGAAAAGAAAAGCTAAGAAAAAATGAACAAAAGAAAGAAAGAAAGAAAGAAAGAAAGAAAGAAAAAATGAACAAAAGAAAGAATGAACGAAAGAAAAAATGAAAGAAAGAATGAACGAAAGAAAGAAAGAAAGAAAGAAAGAAAGAAAGAAAGGAGCAAGAAGAAAAGAAAAAACCTCTTCGTTTCACATAGACTGGTTGGGACGATTTTTATCCAAATCCATACGAGATATTTTTTTTAATCATTAAAAATCTAATTAATTTACCTCTTACCCTTTAATTTAACCAGCAAGGATTCAGAAACAAAGCGTTTTATCACTAAAAAGCAATAAATAAATAAAAATTATGAAAATAAAAAAATTCCGGCCATCGCTTTTATTCCAACCAATCTATCTATTTGAAACTCACGCGTTAGGACAAAAAAAATAGATTTTTGAACAAAAACGGAAGAGAACAAGAAAGAAAAAGGAAGAAAATAAAAAAAAAAAGGAAGAGAAGAAAAAAATAAAAAAAAAAAGGAAGAGAAGAAAAAAAGAAAATAAAAAAGGAAGAGAAGAAAAAAAGAAAATAAAAAAGGAAGAGAAGAAAAAAGAAAATAAAAAAGGAGGAGAAGAAAAAAGAAAATAAAAAGGAAGAGAAGAAAAAAAGGAAGAGGAAATTAAAATTAGATAAACTAAATTCAAATGGAAAAAGAAAATGAAAAGAAAAAGAAGAAAATGAAAGGTAAAAAAAATGAAACGTAGAAATAAAGAAAGGAAAACGAAAGGTTAATACAAAAAAATATGTAGTAGCGAAAAAGAAAAAAGAAAAGAACAGGATAATGAAAACTAAAAAAAAAGAACGAAGAAAAAGAAAAGATGAAAATAAAAGCGTAAAGGAAATCGAAGAAAATGACACAGGAAGAAGAAAGGAAAATACAAAAGAAGTCTGAATTCGGGAGAATAATTAAAGAATTCGTAACTTGTTTCTAATACGAGATTTTCATTCGAGAGAGAAAAAACCCAAATAGATTCCGGTATATTCAACGGTATTTGACCAATTACGCCTTCAAAAACATAACTGTCAACTGTTTAAACCAACCACCTGTACGTTACAGTTAGTGTAATTGTTAACCAAACGGGATGGTTTGTTTGACCGTTACTAATGAAAGGCGAGTCCGATCGTCATTGTATACCTCAGACTGTTTATTTAGCGCAACACTAAGCTAAGTTTATCAAATTGTATCCAAACTATTACTCTCGTAATTCAACAAACGTGGCCTTGTGCCAAACTTGCAATACATACGAATCGGTACTGAAAAATCTCTATATATTTGGGATATATATATATATATATAACACAAGTGTAACAGCTACATTGTTCAATTGATATATTAATATTTGAACAGTTATATTTTAGAAATGATTAAAAGATATCTTACTGGAATTCTCAGGTTTTTATAACACTATTGGACTATTTTGAGCAATAAGAATGTATTTAGCTCTAAGTTGAAGTGGTGATCCCTTTTGCTGTTGTGACCTCCTGATTCAGTTTTCTTCTCTACTGCTACCTCTTTTTAAAACTTATTCACCATTGCTCAGAAAGACAAAGTGGGGTTGAGACAAAACGATTTTAACTTGTTCTCTTTCTAGCTGAACAACTTAAAGGATTTTCAATGATTCTTACGACAAATGGTGTCAAGGTGGCTAAAAACCTGGAAAACAACCCAATGAGTGATTTTTTTTTTTTTAGGTATTAAACATTTTGTGGGATGGACAATTATGCTGTAACACAATTTGGACAATTTTGCTGTTACACCCGGTATATATATATATATATATATATATATATATATATATATATTTTTTTTAGACTTCTCTAACCAATTTACTTGCATCTGCCTTATGTCAGAGGGTACCCCCTCCCCCCAAGACGAGGCTATGCCCTTTGGGCAGAGTCTCGTCTTGGGAAGCTGACTCCGTTTTTTACATGGTCTATAGGGAATATTTGCCCGAGCCTACGGGCTCGGATTCCCCACTTTAAACTCGGCCTTGTGCCACATCTTGCTGCGTCGGACAGCGGGTAAAAAAAATCATATTGCAAGTATATAAAAATAAAACTTTTTTTTTTTTTTTAACGTTGAAGCTGGGACTGAATGTTCTGCTCACAAACGTTAAGCGTCTGTGTTCTACGAGTGGATAAACAATTTAAACTCTTCAGCAATGCGAATGAAAGCTAGACGCAGAATAATTTTAAAGAAAAAATGTAATAAAAGTAAACATTAAGTCACAATAGTATTGGGAGTGGTTTACAAGTAAGAAAGAAACAATTTCCCCAGTGGATAGCCTGTAAGACGTACGCCAAGGAAAGGAAAAAGAAAAAAAAGAAGTTTTTAATGCAATGAGCAACGACCTTTCTTTTTTTTCATCTTACGGTAGTTGGTTTGCAGATAAATCTTTGCAATATGGAGAAGAAAGAGAGACAAATATCAAAGAGTTTTCTCTAACTTGAGGTAGCAATTTTTCTTTTTCTTTTGTATGTATCCAGCCAGTGATAACAGGTTTACTGTCTGAACAAGACAAGGACATATTTGTTATTTCTGCTTAATTGTTTTTTGGTTTTTTTTTTATAAAGAAGAACACTACTACAGCTCTTTGGATTAATGTCCTTACCTTAGGTGTTACTGTCACATTTAGGTTTTTAAGCATTTATTCAGTTTGGAGCCCAAACTACAGAAACAAGATATTAACTACAGGCAAAATCAAGCTACCATATCCACAGTTAAGACACCAGTTCACCGACCAGCGTGTGGTATACAAAATGCTGAATGGCTATTATAAAATAGAAGTAAACAATTTCTTCATCTGAAATAGGAGGATACGTGGTCACTGAGAACAGATTGATGAAACAGCACTCGAAAACAATTGCAAGATTCAACTTCTTTGCCCTGAGGGTGATAGACAGGTGAATCTCTACCTAGTCACGTTGTTAGCGTAACAAAGCTGGTTATTTTCAAGAAGAAACTGGATACTGCTCAAATGAGCTGACTGACTATTGACTAATTCGGTATTTTTCAACGAAAACAAACTGACAAACCAAAGAAGGCTATTTTCAAGAAGAAACCGTGGATCCTGCTCAAATCAGCTGACTATTGACTATTTCGGTACTTATCAACTAAAACCAAACCAAACAAAAATTAACTGATGTGAAGTATCCTTGCGCATACACAATAGAATTAGAACAATTTTCCACCATTTTAAATGGTAAGAATAGCAGTTTCCTTATAAAGGAAACATTCGGCATTTATTGACTGAACATTTAGCCTCACTGCCGGTTGAAATTTATAAATTCTTTCTCTTAAAACTTTTTTTTGCAGGCAAATAGACTCCAAGTCCACTATTATCATTCTTTCTACTATTGTCGGAAGTTACCTTAATAACCTTTTATTGATGGTAGTGTACAAAGTTAATTTTTTCTATTAGTATTTTCCTTCTAGTTACGTGTGCTCTTCGTTTTAGTTGTTGCTGCTTTTGGAAGTTTTCAAGTGATGTGGTTTTTGTTATTTGGTAATGTTCTTTGGGATTTGACAGCGCCAGTCATATATTCTATTAAGTATTCAGGTTGGTATCATTATTATAATCTGGCATAGTACCCGTCAAAAATGAAAATTACATTCAGTTGGTTTTATGACATATCAAACATTGTTGGGCTACTTAATGCTGAGTTTTTGTATAGGGCAACCCTTTAGGATAAAATTCAGAGTCTGTCTATATTTCTGAGATGAGGTATTATGTATAGTATTTACATTAGTCGGACTATTGTCCTCATCTTTGTCGCCATATTTGTCACAACGTTTCAGCCGTTGTACGCTCCGACCTTCTTCAGGTGGTTGGAATTTCGAACTGAACCCTTTATTTCGATCACTGGGGTAAACTGTTCTAGTTCCACATGTTCTAGGACACATGGCACAGTGGATAAAGGCGTTGGTTAGATCCAGTGACAGACCCAAAGAAGGTGAGTTCAATTCCTGGTTAAGGCAGTGGAGAACTTTCAGAGGGAAAATTAGCAGGAGATAACTGATAACTGACATCCATCAAACATGGCACGTGGAACTAGAACAGTCTACCCCAGTGATCGAAATAAAGGGTTCAGTTCGAAATTCCAACCACCTGAAGAAGGCCGGAGCGTACAACGGCAAAAACGTTGTGACAAATATGGCGACAAAGATGAGGACAATAGTCCGACTAATGTAAATACTGTAGGATAAAATTCGTTATTTAGTGAACCAGACCATTCTCGTTGACCATTATACAACGCCGATGCATCCTAAAAACATAACAGGATTATTTATAAAAGCATAGAAATTTTCGTCAAAGATCAGAAATCATGCTATCCGGTGTTTGGTTAGGATTAAAACGTAGTATCTGTTCTCTATTTCTCCTATAGTTATGAAGAGTTCTGAGTCCCGGAGTTGCAACTTTACGGCAACACCTTCCTCATTGTACAAAAAAAAAAAAGGGGGATGGTTGGCGGATGCTGTTTCTAGCGTGACAGTACTTGTTGAGACTGGGTAATTTTGCTTTCAGGCCTGTATGTACAGCACCCTACTTTAAACAGACCATGTTCTACATGCTACCACTTTCTAGCAGTAGGGAGCAAGCTAGCAAAAAAAAAAAAAAAAAAAAAAAAAAATGATGGGAGGGTCGAAGACACCATACCATAAATTGACGCGTGAAGACGCGATACTTTAAAAAATACTGACATGACACCCACTGAGGCGTGAAAACGTGATCCTCGAAAATTATCTAAGTAACCGAAATCATATCTGTGGACTATCAACCCCCACCTAAATAAGAAAGATCTTTGATAATTACTTATAAAAGGCTAGAGTGCTCAGTCGACAGTGGACCGTGCATGTTTATTAAAAAAAAAAAAAGGCCTGATTCGAGTATCCACATCTTGGTTGTTATAATCACATTACGGAGGGTATGACGTGAGATGTCTGTCACATTTTGTTGCCTTCTGAGATTTCCAAGCTGATGTCCAAGCCATCGCCTGAGGGTCTTGGCAAAGATCACCCTTCTTTGAACATTGTGGACTGGCGCTACAGATTCACAAAGATGTGTACCAAATAACAGAAACCACATCACCTGAGAAATACCAACAGCCGCAACAATTAAAATAGATAGCACATGTAATTCGAAGAGAAAATAACAACATAATCAAAATATTGACATTCAACACGACTTAAAACGCTAGGAAGGAAAGCACTCCACTATCAATACTGGAATGAGCGATAACAGCTATTGAGCTTGAGAAACCTATTTTCCTGAAAAATTGTTTCAAGACAAAGATTTTATAAATTTGAACCGAAAACAGTACTGGGTCTCGGCCAGTGAATGCCAAATATTTCCTTATAAAGAAACGAAAAAGTATTAACAAAGAGGTAGATTGTTTTAACTCCTACGTCCATACTCGAGAATATCCCCTATCAGATAATTCATACTCGATGATGATTATATATATATATATATATATATATATATATATATATATATATATATATATATATATAAATTCCAGGTGAAGAGTAATCGCCACATATGCTACGTGTTTTTACGCAATCAACATGTAGTCGGCAACAGTTATTTGTAAAAACTGATATTTTATACTCTCATCAAGTTCAAAATATTACAAGGGTAGTTCATGTGTACATACAATGTACACAGCAATCGAACTCCCAAAATGTCAAGAAAAAAAAAATAACCATTACTTGGAAAAAGAAAAAGGAAAGAAAAAGAGCTCAATGCCATACACGCCCGAACACACATAAAGAAAAATAAAATAAAACTTTGCACCAATGAAAAAAGGCAAAAGGGAAATATAAACATTCATTTGCTTATACCCCCTGACGAGTGGACGGAGTGATTTCTAGAGGATCAGTCTACGAAACTCCAGAATCAGAATGATGAAGGTAACATCAGTCAGCTAAGGTGCCAAATTATATGTCTTTCATTAAATGCGGCCGACAAAGATTTAATTATTTATTTATTTTTCTTTTTTTTGAGTAGCAACCATACACAGAATTTCACCATCCCAAAACACATACTTGAAAATGGCTAGAGAAGTAGCCGAAAGCGTTCGGAACAATTATAACTATGGGCAATTCCTATATTCTTTAACTCCTGAAAAAAAAAAGGAAAAACTGTAAAACTCGATAAAAGATTAATTAACATTTTTACATTATTTGTCATCATCTTTGTCGCCATATTTATAACGTTTCAGCCGTTGTACGCTCAAGCCTTCTTCAAGTAGTTGGAATGTCGAACTGAACCCTTTATTTCGCTCACTGGGGTAGACTGTTCTAGTTCCACGGGCCATGTTTAATGGATGTCAGTTATCAGTTATCTCCTGTTAATTCCCCTCTCCAAGTTCTACACTGCCTTAACCGGGTATTGAACTCACACTCTCTGGGTCCTTTCACTGGATCTAACCACTTTATCCACTGTGCCATGTGTCCTATGGCGACAAAGATGAGAACAATATGTAAATAATGTACATAATACCTCATCTCAGAAATATAGACAGATACTGAAGATTAATTAAATCATCCTTGTCGGCAGTTTTCAATAAAAGAAAGTTTGTTGCCCAAATACACATCAAATATATATATATATATATATATATATATATATATATATATATATATATATTATACATACATACACACTAGTAATAATCTTATAAGTATAAGAAATTATACTCGTCCGGAAAACCTTCGGTGACTTGATTTGCGAATAATCAAATCAATACCAAAAGGAAAAAAAGTTACAAAAGAAAGAAAGAACAAAGAACATGTACGTCAGCCGAAGATAATCGTCTAGCATGCAAGTCCAAAGTGCAAAGAAAAAAAACCGATACGAGTAAGTAAAATAACTAAAAGTGCTCAATACATTAATTAGGGCAGGCCTCCCCTGACGAACCGCTTAGGTGAAACCTTGGTAGGTTTGTCTGGCTCTCTAGGTTTAACACACACTCTCTCTCATATTATATATATATATATATATATATATATATATATATATATATATATATATGTGTGTGTGTGTGTGTGTGAAGGGAGAAAAGAGTGGGCCACAAGTAGGTATATAATTGTTTAATTATTTATATATTGGCGTGAACTTTTAATTTTACAGGTATTCTGAATGATGGCAAATAATTTGAGTCGATGACAAAGAAAGTTGATTTTATAGCAGTATTGGACGGTTGAAAATGCCGAGCACGTGCGCCAAGTGTGGAGAGAAACATTTGACAGCGTTCGACCAACACGCCTGACAATTTATTGTATAAGAGATACATTTGAGGAAACGGATTCAGTGGTGAATGCACCGAAATCTGGTCGTCCTAGGTATGAAGAAAATGAAACAACCGTGTTAAACATGTAATTGTAATAAGTAAACATAAAGGTAATAATAATATAGGAGACACGGTGGAGTAATGGATAGTGGCTCGGATTGAGGAATCGGAAAGCCGAGTTCGAATTCCTGTCGAATCCATTACATTCACTTACGTACTAATACCCTTGGGAAAGGTATGAATTCTCTCTTCTCCCCCCGCCTCACCAGCTATGGTAAATAGCAGGACAGATCGAGTTCTATAGCCTGCCGCAGAAAGAAATGGCAACCAACTCGTCAGTCATGTATCTTTCGATATATGATCGCCTAAGTGTGTATCACGGATGGCACATAACTGACTGAAATATAAATAAGACTGTAATCCGCCAAATATAAATATATATAATTTTTTTTTTGCTGTCTGACCCAGGGTCTGTACACGCAAACACTGCCTTACGCTTTTACCCATTTGGTTATTATAGATGAAAAGTTGGAGATATAAATCAATTTGATGCACGGGCAAAATATTTTTTCACCAGCAACAATAAACTAAAAGGTGCGGCAGAAATATTTCTCCTCTCTGACATATACCACCCAGGAAAAACTCTTACTGTTTTACCTTTATGTGGGAGGTATTTCTGCCGCAGCCTGTACATCAAAGAAAAGTAATCTATTTAAAGACATGATCGCTTATGTCCTGAAGAGTCACGGCATTTAAAAGAAATTCTGACTTCGGCTTAGGTTACTCTGACACAGGGTTATAACGATAGAGCTCACAGATATCTATCGTTAAAATAGCGAGGATCTCTTTCAGAGGAGCTTGCTGACAAACGCTTTCCGGCTGGTGTCTCTTTTTAGGGAGGGGATTTTGATCAACCAGCTGTTTTCAAATCAGTCGACAATTTTTTTTTTAAGTTTGTTATTAAAATTACCTGATAATTTAATTGCGATAAAAACAAATTTTAGATAGCCTATATATTTAATTTTAGTCTTTCAAAAACAAAAACAGACTGTAGTATCAATCCTCCTATATGGCAGTGAATTCTGGACAATTTCCTCAGAGATGATGGGACGATTTGCTCCAACAGAAATGTGGCTCTACAGAAGAACGCCGAGAATACTGTGGAGAGAATGAGTAAGCAACAAAGAATTCTTTAAAAAAATGGAAACAAAAAGGACACTTCTACTTAGACTCAAAAAGGTTATTTTCTAAGCGTAGCTTAGGTGTGGCACAAGGCCGAAAGTATGGGACACCTGATGAAGGTCGGATTCACTTTTCAGTCGTATCTGATCTAGCCAGACAAGCTTGCTAACCATTATACCACGCCGAGGTGCCCAATTAGAATGATTTTCTAAACGTAGCTTAGATGTGGCACAAGGCAGAAAGTATGGGGGCACTCAGTGAGGGTTGAACTCACTAATCAGTTGTAACTGAGATTTCTGGGTCATTTAATTAAGAAGGAAGGCTTGGAAAATGTGACACTCACAGGACATCTACCTGGCGTGCTTACGTGAATGGATGACATGGCTGGAGGTAGGAGGGTGTCGTAAAACGACAAACATTGCTAAGAGCTACAAAGGATAGTGTTATGATGTTGATTTGGGGTTAGTAGAGACAAACGCCAAATAACACGTAACAATAAAAAGGGTTTTAATAGGTTGGTAAAAAAGGTACAGAAATCGCCTGAGTGTTCAATAACTAGCTCAGCTAAGAACTTCTCTGTCTATCTATCTTCCCATTATTTAAAGTCTCTGTTCACAGACGCAGACAAGTTCATCTTCAAGAGGGGTGGTAGGTTTCCGACACAACAGATAGCGAACTATGAAAAGCCATGATCGACCAACGCCATAAAGGAATACAGCTCATCGGTGACTAAATCGATTCCCTCTACTTACCGTGTGAAGAGGGTGGCTAGACATTCAGTAGGATTACAAGATACCTGTCAAAGGGCACGCCGGGATAGTCCGTGTGCCATAGCTGTGTAAGCAGCCAGTCAGTGCGGTGACGACACGCGGAGGGTTTCCTAGGCTGAAGTCAACAACCAGAGCAGAAGGTTTCCACGATGGAATCAACCACCACGTGCTCGTGATAAAGGTGAGCCTTCAATTTGGAGGATGTCGGATGTAGTTTGACCTTGTAAAGGATGGGTTCCGGCCAGGTTTAATTACCCAGGTCGAATACTTCCCCGGCTCGCAACCCAGATATACAGAGGTTAGGTCTTCACAGCCGATCATGTGTCTTCTTCTTCTGATGATGATATTTAATCTGGTACTAAGCCTTTCTAAGGCAACCCCGCTAACGAACTGATCAGTGAAATTAACCTATTAACTGTCACTGGTTTGAACAGACATCATCAGAGCTGTTTTGACTTGAAGGAACAACAGTAAATTGGTGTAATTTCAAATTTTAAACATGGCTATTCATTTTCGAGCATGCCCATCTGATCAGACCGATTTGTGTTTCTTCATCACCCACAGGGCCAAGCTGTAGTTTATACTGCGACTATGATGAGCAGACCTTAGTTACGGTTGCCAGAGCCATATACAGTTTTGAATTCAGAATTGTCTTATTGCAATACTGGTTGCCAAACATAGCTAGAGAATCCAAACTACCCTGCTATTTAACTCATTAACGCCAGTGAATAATACGCAGGTGTCTTATCTACTGCGATATTAAACGCACCCCAATTTCAACAGGGCATATTCAGGGAAAATGTTTTTAGTGTATTGTTGAATAGTACCAAAACTATTAATGAAACTTCGTCCATGTTCCCTATTTGTAAAGTTGAAAACTATTTCCCTTCGTCTCTTAGTTTCCATTTGGAATGTACATAGTGATAGCACGGATCAACTGGTACCGACGAACGTTGCCGGTAATATATGATGAGAATTTGGTTTTGTTTTTTTAATTTTGAAGTAGTGGTTGTGGTTATGATAATTATGAAAATAATAATAATAATAATGTCTTTTAAGTAAATATTATTATTATGGTCGCGGGTTATATAGAAGTGATTGTTTGATGTAAATTTATAACCAACAGTAAAGAGCGTTGAGAAAAAATAAATTGCCAAGCAGGGGTCCTCAACTTTGCATACAGAATTTTTTTTTGTTTTTAAAATAATGGTGAATGGATATATTTTCATCAATTAAGTCAGCAGAATACTAGAAATTTTTTCTAATTTTAAGTTGATAATTTAGAAATCTCCAGATTTTTAAACAGTGAGAAACACTCCCAAACTTTGGTCTGTTAACAAAACGTATTATTTATTGTAGAATAACGCCTATCAACGTGACAAGTAGAATCAGAGGAACGAATTCAAAACCAGGCGGAATCTGTTGCGTTCACTTCATAATAATGCACTCAAGGCATGAATCCATCTTACTCTATTCACAACAAAGGGTTAAATAGCTTCGCAGACTGAGAAACTTGGTCTTGTGTAGCAGAAGCAAGACAATCCAAAATTCAAAACTGTTTGGAAATGCAATGAATACCACTTTATTATAGTTCCCCAAAAAGTCATGGCAATTCACAGATATTTTTTTAAAGCAAATCACCCCAAGCAAAGCGGGAGTACTACTAACACGGAAGGGGTTACAGAGGGTAGAGAGCAAACATAAAGAGGAATGTTTAAAGATTGGGTATAGAGAAGCACGGTGATCAAGATCAAAGCATCAATAGATGTCGATTGACATTACATTTAAATTAAAGATTATAGTTATCAGGGAAGAAAGTAAGAGGAAGGGAGTTTCACTGTCGGGAAGTGCGAGAAAAGAAGCTGTTAGAGTAGAAGAGACGACTACATTTAACCGTTCCGACAGTGAACGGGTGGGACCGAGACGCCAACCTAGTAAAAAGGAATCAGTGGAGAGCCATGATCGCCTACGTGCTGAAGGGACATCGCATTAAAAATATTTATTCCTGTTACCTCAACCTTTTGGCAGATCAATTCTACAGCACTTTTTTGTGGTGGTGGTGGGGGGGGCTATTTCATCCCGAATGAAATAAATTTCTCTTCCTTCTTTTACAATTTATATGGATATTTTACCTGAATAAGGCCGTAGAATAGATCGGTTGAAATGTCGTGGTAATAATACCAGCAACTAAAAGAGTTTAGTTGACAGAACAAATATTGGAAATAATGATTATGACAAATCTAAAAGAATAATCTTCACAATATTAAAGCAATCCTATGCACCAATTATGTTTAAATTGATTAAACCTTAATAAGTATGATTCGATTTTTTTTCGATGTAAATAGACGTCTTTCAACCCTGTGAAAAAGAAAATGAAGGTATGGATAGTGTAATCGGTAAGAGAAAGTAAGAGATGGATGCATACAAAGGATTCTCCCAACAAGTATGTGTTAAATAACAGCCATATTAATTATATAAAATAGCTGGGTTCTCTTGAGGTAGCAAACAGTCCAGGAGAATGAAAAATCTGAAGCCAAAACAAGTCAGAAGAGGGATGGATTCCGTCAGGTTATCTTGAACTAGACACACTACTACTGCTATGGCTGCAGTACATATGCCACCCCCTTCATGGGTTACTGGATTCTTGACGTGAATAGGCTGATGCACGGCAGTTAGCTAGCTGACAGTTTACTCGTGAAACGAATTGGATCCTCATAAGCTGCCGTGTAAATGAGCTTCCACGCCAAAGTTAGAGGAAATATTAGTCTAAACTGGCTGACTAGTGAAAGGATAAGTCAGAACATGTCGAAGAAAAAAAAAGAAGTCTTATTACAGTATGAGTCAGGAAAAAAAGTGTACAGAAGATAGTGATTTCCCAAGCGTAGCTTAGATGTGGTACAAGGCTGAAAGTATGGAGCACCCAGTGAGAATCGAACTCATTATTCAGACGTAATTGTTCTAGCGAGACAAACTTGCTAACCATAACACCGTCCCGAGGTGCCCAAAGAGTACGGAAGATATGCGCGCACGTGTCGTGTGTGCGTGTGTTCG